TCCCCTTCTGAGTGACATTCCAGCACCCTCCCTTGAACCCTGCTTATTACTTAGCTTCTTTAGGGCTGTGGTTTGTAGCATGTTTATCCTGTACTTCACATCTAACATCCACTTATAAGTGAGCACATACCATATGTGTCTTTCTGGATCTTGGTTACCTCTCTCAGGTAATCTTTTCTACTTCCATCCGTTTACCTACAAATTCCATGACTTCTTTATTTTTAATAGCTAGGTAGTAATCCATTGTATAAATGTACCGCAATTTCTTTATCCATTCTTTGGTTGAGGGACATCTAGGTTGTTTCCAGTTTCTGGCTGCTATGAACATAGCTGAGTAAATGTCCTTGTTGTATGATGGAGCATCTTTTGGGTATATGACCAGGAGTGGTCATATCTGGATCTTGAGGTAGAACTATTGCCAATTTACTAAGAAAGCACCAGATTAATTTCCAGCAATTAAGCACCAGTAATGGAGGAATATTGCCCTTTCTCCACATCCTTGCCAACATGTGTTGTCACTTGAGTTTTTGATCTTACCCATTCTGACTGGGGTAAGATGGAATCTTATAGTCATTTTGATTTGCATTTATTTGATGACTAAGGACACTGAGCATTTCTTTAAATGCTTCTCAGCCATTCGAGATTCCTCTGTTCTGAATTCTCAGTTTAGCTCTGTACCCCATTTTTAAAATTTTATTATAAGATTTGTTGGTGTTTAATTTCTTAAGTTCTTTGTATATTTTGAATATAAGCCCTCTGTCTGATGTAGGGTTGGGGAAGATCTTTTCTCAGTCTGTAGGCTGCCATTTTGTTCTATTGACGGTGTCCTTTAACTTGCAGAAACTTTTCAGTTTCATGAGATCCCATTTAATTGTTGATCTCAGAACCTGTGCTGTTGGTGGAGGCCTGCAACAGGGTAGGATTCTGGGAAGCCATAGGTATGGCTCTAGCTGAGACTCCTAACAGGGGCAGAGATCGAGATTGAAGTGACCACCTCCTAGCCAAGCAGGACTAGTAGAGGGAGAAGAACAACAACCCACCCACAAAACCTTTGATCCAGAGATTACCCGGCCTAGAAGTACAGGCATAAAGAGGGAATAAAGTGTGAGGGAATGTCCAAGCAATGATTGGCCCAACCTGAAACCTACCCCAGGGTAGAGAGCCAGCCCCTGACACTATTAATGATGCTCTTCTATGCTTGTAGACAGGAACCTAACATGTCTGTAGTCTGGAAGGCTCCAGCCAGCAGTGGATAGAGACAGATGCTGGGATTTACAGCCAAGCATGGGCCAGAGTTCCGAGGGTCTTGTGGAAGTACTGGGGGAAAGATGGAAGGAGCTGGAGGGGACAGGAACCCCACAAGAAAACCAACAAGGGCAACTAACCCAGACCCACAGAAGCTTACAGAAACTTAGTTAAGGTATCAACTAAGAAGCATGCATAGTCTGGACCTAGGCACTGCACCTATGTGGCCGATGGGCAGCTTGGTCTTCATGTGGGGCACCTGGCAAGTGGAAGGGGATGAGGAGCTGTTTCTAACCTTATTGCCTGCTTTTACACCACTTCCCCCTGGAAGGGTTGCCTTGCCTGGCCTCATTGGATGAGGATATGCTCAGTGCTGATGTGACTTGATGTGCTGGGGAGGGTTGATATGGGGAGGCTCCTCTTTTCTGAACAGATAGGGGGAGAAGAAGAGGAAAGGAGAGGGAGCTGGACTGGGAGGTGAGGAGGGAGGGGCACTCTTAGGATGTAAAGTAAATAAACTTAAATAAAATTTTAAAAAGAAAATAAAAGGATAAGCAGTCTTGGGTTTAGAAGCCAGCAGAATCTAAGCCAAAGGTATTTGTGGAGGGGTGTGATTTCGAAGGGATCTTGTGTTACTGTTGTGCTTATGACTTTCCCTAGCAAGGGTGCTCAGCTTCTTCTCTATGATTCACTCTCTGTATGGTTACCAGAACGTTCTCTCACCAATTCTTGGGTAGCCTAGGTCAGTCTTCACCTGTGCTTCAACCCTGTGAGCCTAAGTGAATATATGAAATAAGGTACCAATCACACATCTGCCTAACCAGGAGTCCTTCAGAGTACTTTTGGTGACTGAAGTGTGTCATCTTTGGCTAATCTCTCACTCATTAGTTGTCTTGCCATGGACAGAAATGCCACTTTTCCCAAATCCATTGGTTTTCCTTATTTTCTTTTTTGTTTATTTTGGTGAAATTCAGGCAGCTCCATGCATTATCAGGTGTCAAAGTAAAATTACCCAGCCACCTCATTCTTTCTCATTTTCTGATGCTGAGTTTTTTTAATTTACATATGTTCTGAAAACTAGATTTTTTTTAACTCAGCATGAGAACAGGTAACCCAAGCAGTTTCTCCAGGCTGAGTTGAATCCAGAAGACTTCCTCCATCTGCCAGGGCACGGCTGCTTCAGATGCAAGAGAAATGCCCCTGTTGGATGGCATTCATATTTTAGCATTGAGGTCAGCAAAAGGAAAATGTGTGGCTCCCAATGTTGAGAATCCTAGGCTGAATTTTTCTGAGTCTTGCAGGTATCATAGAAAACTCACTTCAATCCTGTTATCCTAAAGGGTAATGTTTAAAGTACAAAAGTTCTACCTGTGTGTTAGTGTGATCTTCAAATTGCTAGGTTGATTTAGATAGATGTAACCCACATCAAACCCATGTGTACTTTCTTTTGTTATGTTGTTTACACATGAAAAAATATATATGTATATGTGTATACATACATACACACACATACACACACACACACACACACACACACACACATATTCATTTGAGAACACTGGAAAACCACAAATGAGCAGCTTGAATGTCTGTACAAACTGGGCTTTTGTTGTTGTCGTTGAGGCCTTTGCCCTCCTCGTAAGCAGGCACACAGAGAAGGAAATAGACTGTGTGCGTCTGTCTCAGTGTGAGCTTAGCATCTGTGTTGAGACTACCATTCCAAATGGGTTTCTGTATGTCACTGAGAACACCTCACCAAGTCTTCTGAGTTACTGTGTGAATGCAGTGCAAGTCAGCAAAGGGCCAAATCAAGCCTTTTGCCTTCAAAAGCAATGTTTCCCTTCCTCCCAGGCCCTGGTGCACACCTCTCTCCCTTTCTTCTGTTTCATGCCTTACCGTTTTCTAAAATGGTTCCCAACAAGTGTTGTATTCAAACAGAAATGAAGATCTTGTTTCCATCATTCTCACAATTTCAAAGTCCACCTAGCAGGGTTCTGATTGTCTAAACATGAGCTCAGCCTCTGAGGACCTTGGCAGTGCTCACCCTTGGTTTGTTTTCAGCCTGAGAGCGTGAGGAAAAGGTATCAGCGCTCAAGTGTTCTTTTCTTTCCCTGACTCCTTGATACTCAAACTACTGAGTAAGAGAGGTGGGTTACCTGAACAAAATGACAAACTATCTCTTACTTCTAAGAGCTTATTCTGCGGCAGGCATTGTGGTGAGTAATTAGAATTGCTTTAACTGATTATCAGGATCTATGTTCTAAGTGAGGAAATTAGTTCTTTCTAGAGACTAATTTCACATAGAAAAGGAAGGAGCCCGCAGTCTGATTACTGAGCTACTTATTTCTAGGAGGGCACTGACCAAATTGCACGTACAGTGGCTGCAATGGGACCAAAATTAGCTTGAAGCAAAACAATGCATAGGCTTCACTATTAAGTATTAGCCACAACTGATAAGTGCCCCCTAGCAGGGAAATGCAAGTATGTGAGGTGGGTGTCAAGTAACTTCCTCAGATTTCTTAAGTGAACATTCTCTAGGTTGCTGAATCCTACAAATGCTTCTAAAACAAAAGTGGAGGATGATGAAAATGATTACATAGGCCATGTGATAATCATTACCATAATCCTCAGTTAGGTAAAAGATAGAATAGGGGTGATATCATGGCACTATGGGTAAAAGTGCTTACTCCTGAGCCTGACGACCTGAATTTGATCCCAGAACCCACAGAGAACTTGATTTGTGAAAGTTGAATATGTATGCATACACCCTGTAGTACGGGAGGTCACAGAGACAGTACATACATACATACATACATTCATACATACATACATACATACATAAATACATAAATAAGTGAATAAATAAGTAAGTGAATAAATAATAGAATGTTTTAAAAGATCATCACATCTCAGAGTACAAGACTGAAGAATGCACTAGTAAGAACGGTATGTTCCCCCTGTGCTCAGTGCCTGTTTGTGCACTTGTGTTCTTTGAAGAAGACCCAGACTGTTATCTGTCCTTGGATTTTTTTTTCATTAGATTTTCAGTTCCCAAACAAGTGTGGTCTCTTCAGTCATTACATTATGTTCTTCCATGTGATCAGCCTTGAGAACTAGTGAGCCGGTTGTCTAATGTAACCACTACATATTACAAAGTGAGAATACTCTCCAGTCATCTGTTCCTTAGGGCCTAACTTTTGAATGAAAGCACATTCTTTTCCTCAAAGAGCACTGAAAATGTGGACTTAATGTCAGCTAAGACATTAGCTAAGACATTAGTTTCTGTGCCCCACACATTCATTTGTACAGAAGGTTAACTGTTGATCTTTGGTAAACTGCAAATTGATTGCCTAGTCATAAGATTAAAGGAGGAATGTTCCAGAGGCCTTCTGTTTTGACTTGGCTGTGTCTGATGATGCAAACTCTCACTCAAGGTCACTAACTCTGTAGTGAGCCGCCATTTTGTTGAGGAAATGGGAAACCCTCACCCTCTTACCGCTAAGCTACAGTGATGCACCACCTTGGAGCATAGAATTTCTTCTTACGGTTACATTTTCTGCCTTCTACAGATTGACATCATGTCCCTACATTGAGAGCAGGAGTGGCCTTTGGCTTCTGATTATCCCAAACCCAAGTCTCTGTCCCCTGTTTTTAGTACTTTGCCATTTTGATTTTGCTTTTTGAATTTGCTTGTGACTCTCTGCTTCCCCCATCTTTTTTTTTGGTACAATGATTCTTACCTTGTCTTTCCCCAGTCCGTTTCTGACCTGGAGAGACGTACAGCATGTAATTGTCAGGACTTCCCGTGCGGGACATTTGAACGCTAATGACTGGAAAACCAATGCTGCTGGTTTTAAGGGTGAGAACTTCTTTCATATTCTGTCACAGGCAAAATATTTTTATTTTTCCCCAATTTTAAATGGAGAGCAGGAAATGGAACCCTTCAAACAAATTGAAATTAAATTTTGTGCTCATCTATGAAGAGCTCTTCGGTCTTTTCATACTTAAAAGGCAGATTGATTTTTTTTTTATTGAAAGTATACACACATGGCAGATTTCCTATGCTTCCCACATCATAGGTCAAGTTTTTAAAAATTCAACCAACTCCCACATGTAACTGGCCTATGGGAATCCTAACTGCTTTGGTATTTGCTGTTGTTGATTGTCTGAGTGGTATTTTCATAAGTGTGTTTTTAAGTTCTTCAGCTTTACTTCCTCATGGATAGAAACTGGCATACATTTTTCACCGTAGTCTAGCAGTTAGGCATGCATTCTGTAACATTGTTTTCACTGGCTTTAAAACTTTCACCAATGGAAAAGTTAGGCGTATTTTGATGAAGAAACCTAGAGTGTAGATAAAACTTCCTACTGTGCAGTCTCTAGCAGTTGTGCATGACAGAAGACAAACATGAATGTTTTTCCCAGAGCTAGCCTGATGCCCCTCTAGTGTCCCTCTTAACAGTAGCCATCATCGTGTTAGTCATGGATAATATATGTCATAATAAATAGAAAGTAGTTATATAAAGCATTTCTAAAGAGTAGTGTGTTTTCACTCAAGTTGAAAATGACCTGTTTCAATCTATGAAGTTATAACAAAAATTACCTCATATCACAGCTATGGTCTCAAGCTTTTTCCAAAATAAGTTTAGATCATAACATATCCCTCTATGGGGAAAACAGTATTCTATAGTGTAGGAAATATAGTGGAAGATCTGGCACTCAGACCACTGGAAACATAGTGAATAATCCTGAGGAAGCCATTCATTTTAAGATTCCTAATTGTTCCATACTTAAACATTATGGGATGTGAATAATATCAATATGACATCATACATAGGAGTTTAATAAATCCTTAGGGAACTATGTCCAGTATATGCAAATGCTTATGCCAAATGTATATTCTTTAAAAATTCGTTGCAGATAGCTCATGCTAAACTCATCCTTAACCAGGACCTATGAATTGGTCAAGGATCCAGCACATAAGACCAGTGACATGATGTTTTTACATAATCCACTTGACACTTAGAAAAAGAATATCCCTCTGCTTTTGAAATGTGGTCCTTTCCTTGGCTGTAAACTATGCAGAGCAGTGTGTAGGTGTTTTACTTAGCCTAAAAAAAAAAAAAAAACTGTAAACACTCATTGCTGTCCCACTCGGGGAAGCCAGTGTAAAAATATGCCAGTCTCAAATTTGCAATTATATGGGCATTGTGAAAATTATTTGAAATATCACTTCTTTCAAAACAAACAAACAAAAACAGAATGTAAGTTTGTCGTATGTATGTTTCACGTTGATTAGCATCATCCTGCTCTGAAGTCCTAGTAGATAAATCCATGATATGTATGGGGTTGGGGGAGGGATGAAAATGAACGTTGGCTACAATGGTCTTCTTAGCAGGGATGTCGCAGACAAAGTACATTGACCTCCATGAAGCTGAAGAATCAACTTAAACCCAAATAAACTTCCTAGTTTTACTTACTCCTTTTTGGCAACTTAAAAAGAGCAAATGGTTCTAATAAAGCACACAGTTCTTTGGAAAACCTCTGTTGGTTTTGGAGAGGGAAAAACCAGGGGATTTAAACTAAATCAGCAGACCTAAACGTGAATTTCAAGGGGCTGTACACTGCTTCTAGCGAGGAGGAAATTGTATTTTACTATTGCACGTGGCAATATTTAGTATAATATTTCACTCTTCACTTAGATGGCTGCCAAGAGTAACAATTAAAGTTCATTTTTTTCATAGATGAATTACTCGGAATGGTCTGGGCTCCCAGAGGAATTGTTTTGTAATTTGGTTGATGGCAAGCCCTATAATTCATCTAAACATGATCATAATAAGATGAATTCTTTCAAAGTCATTTTCTTCCTTATTCTAAACACGACTGTCCCTTCCCAAGGGCCCCGCAAATAAAGGGGACCAGGGCAGAGGCTAGCAGGAGCAACATGCTCTGGGAAGGAAGAAATGCTGATCATAAGGGTGGGAGAAAAATAGACTGACTTTTTATGAAACAGAGAGTCAAGGAATAAAAAGCACAAATGTTTAGGAGAGATTTGTGCAGTGATAGCTCAGCAAGAATTCGACATTTAAATCAGATCCACCAGTAGTAGATGCCTTGCTTAGCAGGGTTCTATAGCCACTCCTTTCCCCTTACACAAGAGAGAGCACAGTAGCCTGTGGCTGAAACCTTGACCATGGTGCTACCCAAATCCTCACACACACATTCAGTCTCAACACTATGAGAGACATAGACATGGGATGAAATTGAAAACTCATGGGTGAGCTGGGATGGTGCACACCTTTAATCCCAGCTCTTGGGAGGCAGAGGCAGGTGGGTCTCTGAATTTGAGGCCAGCCTGTTTTACATAGTGAGTTCAAGGATGGCTTCTGTGTGCGTTCACACAAACACAAAAGAAAGAAGGAAATGCAAAGGAGACAAAGAGAGAGAGACTGAGAGAGAGCAGTTTCACAGATTGTTTAGTGGCTACCTCTGGAATGGGGGTGTCAGTATCCATATCAGAATCCCCCTTCTCCCATTAGGGAAAACAGAAGCCGGAGTTTGGACATTGGAAGACTGTAGCCTTCCTTATCCAGATAAGCCAACACACCATAGGGATGAGTAGCTGTCTCTCACCGAACCTACTAGATCTGCCTTATACAACCTCCCTACATTTCTTCAGGCATACCCATATGCTACACACTAGCAACAGGCAGCGGAGCCGGAAGCTAAGGGAACTACAGGAGAGCAGAGCTCTCCTGAAGGTGGACTTGGGCCACACTCAGCCGCTTTGTGCTGTGTGGGCCTGGACCAGGGAAGCTCTGTCCTCCTGCTGCAGCTATTCCTGTGCTTCATTCTCAGTCAGGGTAGGAAGGACAAGGCTCTCTGAGACCCACTCTCTGAATGACACCCTGGTGGCTGAGGTTCAGAGAGCTGTTTCCTGTGCTCCCATAACAGCAGTCTGCAAATGCCCTCATAGCAAGGCCAGCTCACAGTCTAGGAAACCCCAAAGACGGTAGCCACAGTCAACACTTGGCTGCTGATGCTGCCTGGACTTTTTAATGATGTTAATTGGCCTAAAGTGATTCTTCTCTGCTGCACCCTGATGGTAATAGTGATAGTAACCTCAATATAATTAAAATGTCTTACAGCAGGGTAAATTTAAAGAATAAACATAGGGGAAATGAATGAACACCTTTGGAAGCTAGCTAAACATATTTGCCTTGTCCCTCTTGCAAATAATTCTAGTCAATTTTTAAGGACCTTTTGACTATGTAGCTCCGCCAAAGTTAGTTACTTGAAATAAAGGTTATGAATAGCACACATCAATGAAGACTTGAAAACGTGTGTGGAAATGGGAAGTCGTTCATTTTAGAGCAGATGTGGGTTCTGTCAATGAAGAGCTAGAATGCAAACTCCAGTATCCCATTGCTGATCCGCATTCTCAAAGACAGATGATTCATCATTAAATGGTTGACATTTAATCAGGCTTAGTTTTCTCCCCTATCCCTTCTCTTACCTCTTATGAGAAGTCTCATGTTTTGTTTTGTTTTGTTTTGTTTTGTTTTGTTTTGTTTTGTTTTTGCCCCCAATTCTCTTTAATCCCCAACATATGTACCTTTAAATACACCAGTGAACTATTTCAAAAGAGCTTTCTCCACCTCCTAATTGAAATCAGTGGATACTGACTCTTCATTGGTTGATTCCTAAGATTTTCTGAACACTTTCAACCCTCCAGCCAGACAGCACTAGGGAATGCCAGGCCCTATGAGCTAGCATGATTTCAGAGAAGTTGGCACAGGTCTTTTGGTTTGGGGAGATAAGCTGTCACACCCTATGTAGACTGGGCTGGTCTTGAACTTATGGCAGTCCTCCTGTATCTCCTTCCTGAATACTGGAACTACAGGCATGTACCCCTACCTGACTGACATGCACCTACTTTTAATCTCATTCAAACCCTAACAACCCCTCAGCCCGCACTAGACAGAAGTACTGAACTGTACTTGGTCACAGCAGGAAGTACCTAAAGCCTAGAGCACCTGTCATGTGTCCGCCTGACATTCACCCAGACATTTTTCTATGGTCTGGGAATCAGTAGCTTTCCTTGGGCTCCCCGCTCCTCTCCTGCATTACTCTGAAGAGACCACTCTGCCCAGACAGCATAGCTGATTCTTCTCCCCCAAATGTACTCTGAGGGTGCGGTTGTGATTCTGTGGAAGGCGTGAACATCTCTTCGAATCAAAGCATTTGCATTTGGATGATATGACTGTGTATGGTTAAACTCTCTTCTGTCTAGGAACAGCAGTAGATATCAGATAATAAATTAGGACCTTCTGTCATCTTTACTAGGCGAAAGGATGAAAAAAAAAGTCATTGAAACTCAAAAAATGACCACTAAGTGAGCGAGGTTGCCTCCATCTCACTGCCCTCCCAGACTATGTAAGTCGCTGTTTTTCTACCACCAGCATGTCGCTGAAACCTCCCCTGTCCCTACTGACTCTTTCTTGGAACACAACTAAACTACTAGATTTTTTTTTATTTATTTCTAACTGGTTACCCACCATGGTAAAAACAATTGATAGTCTAACATGACTTCTTAGCCCCTCAGATTTTAACTTTTAATCATCTTTTTTTTTACTTTTAATTACATCATTATGTTGCCATTTGTAGTTTTAAGGCATTACAATATATTTTTAATAGCTACCTGCCTTTCAGTTTGTAACACTTTTAAAGAGAATTAGAAGTACTGAAACCATTAAGCATGCCATGTGTTGAATCAAAATGAAAAGTTTGGATTTGTTTTGTTTTTTGTTTCGAGAGTTTGAAGTGATTTCTAATATGTTGTCACTTGAAAGGGTCAAT